ACAAACGTGTCTTTTGGACGAATATAGATAAAATATTTTAAAATTTACAAATACAGTTTAGATGATGGATCAATCATTCCGAATTTGCATAAACTTGATTCGCCAATAGATGACGTTCACAAATTTACCCATAGATAAAGTTAAAATAAATAAATAAATAAAACTAAACTACTAACAATTGTAAACATAGAGTAAAAATAATAAATATATATATATATATATATTTGTGAAAATAAAAAATAATACCTTAAATATATGCATGCGTGGTACCATGACCTATTATAGACAAATAATATATTTTTTTTTTGAAAAAATTTCATTTTTGCCCCTATACTTTGCCTCGATGATCAATTACACTTCTAGATTTGGAATAATTTCAATTTTACACCCAAAATTTTTAAAATCGTATCAATTTTGTCTCTGTCGTCACATTTGAAACAGAAAAAGTTAAAAAATTACATTTTGATCTCAAATTTCAAAAGAAATATACAAACCCACCTTCTCCCACTCAAACTCACCATCTCTCATCTTCCTCCAATTCTTCCCTCTCTTCTTTGCTGTTACAAGCGCTACCTCCACCACCAACCACCACTGCAATCACTCAATTCTCCAACCCAACTTCTCTCAAACCCAAATTCACTCACTCACTCCAAATTCTTAAACCCTACACTAGACTATGAAAAAGGCAAAGTTTGTGGCAAACAAGAAGGGTTCAACAATGGCGGATTATCGATCCAACCAACTCGACAAAGATCGCCGAAAACAAGAAGGATTCTTGGGCTCCCACTACCTTGCAACACTCTTTGCCGCAAGTTTGGTTTGAAAAAGGTATCATACGACTTTATCATCCTCTCAACACCTAATTCCTTCATTTTTTGAAAAATCTTCACTCTCTTGAACAATACTCGCCTTACCGTAGCTATCGATCAACATAACAAACATGTCCTTATCCCATTCGACACCCTTATTTGACATATCCAATAGTATACACGAGGCATGGTTGAGCTTCGAAGCTCGACCCAAAATCTCAATTATCTTGTAATGTTATGGGTCTATTTATCATACTGGGACAACCTAGCTCACTTGACCCACCGAAAAAACTAGAGAGCATGCTTCGAGTTCCGCACACCATGCAACACATTATAAACAAGTGAGTGATTTGCCAAGGCCGATTGGCCATCATTTTACATATAATATCCTGTAATTTTTTTTGGTTTCAATCCTTATCTCTTAAGCCTCGTTTGTTTTGGGGTGTAGAGGGTGGGATGGGATTAGGATGGAGGTGGGGTCCATTTAGTGTTGTGTTTGTTTGTAGAGTTGGGGAAATGATTAGAATGAAGGAGAGGATTAAGATGGAGGTTAGAAGGGGGATTGGGATAAAGGAGGTGGAGGTGGTATTAGAAAAATAGTGTGGGGATTAGAAATTTTTTTATTTTTTACATGTTGAGCATTTTTTTTTGAACATTAATGTTTAATTTTTTATATTTTTGTATTTGTTTTATTATTTTATATAAAAAAAATTAACAATTCTTATACTAACAACTATCATCAAAACAAATACAATTTTACTTAATCCCCTCACAATTAATCCCCCCACTATGAATCCCTTCCATTCCATCTCTGAAAACAAACGGGGCATTAGGGTTCTATGATTCGCAATCACTTTGACATTCGGGCTTTCGGGCATGGTCTGTGCAACTGAAACAGGGAAGTCTCATTCTGGGTTTGGGATTGGATCGCTGGAAGAGAGTGAGGAATCAATTAGAGGGTCTAGAGCAAATGAGCAAAATAAGCAGAGGGATTTAAGGGAAATGGGATTTGAAATCAAATAAAACCTAGGTCTCAAAGGAGATGGCTTTAATGTAGAGATATATGCCATTTTGGGTATTTCTCTGATCTGTGAAGTGAGTGTGAAGGGACTGTAGAATGAAAGTATTTGTTGGGTCAAGTTTGGTTCTTTATGTGAAGTGAGAGAGAAAGAGAGAGAGAGAGAGAGCAAAGACTGTAGAGAGTTTGGAGTAAGTGAATTCAAGTTTGAGGGAAGTTGGGTTAGAGAATTGAGTGATTGTAGTGGTGGTTGGTGGTAGTGGCAGCACTTGCAAGGGCGGAGAAGATAGTGAAGAATTAGAGGAAGATGAGACAGGGTGAGTTTGGATAAGAGATCGTGGGTTTACATATTTCTTTTGAAATTTGGGACCAAAATGTAATTTTTTTTTAACTTTTTCCGTGTCAAATGTGACAGTAGGGGCAAAATTAATACGATTTCAAAAATTTTGGTGGTAAAATTGAAATTATTTGAAGTCTGGAGGTGTATTTGATTATCGAGGCAAAGTATAAGCGTAAAAATAAAATTTTCTCTATTTTTCAGATTACTAGTTATTGGAGATTGTAAAAGTAATGAATTATAATTTTGAAAAAAGCCCAAAAATTATAAAGTCCAAACTGCTATAACGATCGTATCCATCTGCCAACTCTCACGACTCGCTTAATCCGAATTCGCCAAATCAGTGAACGGATGCGGATTGATTTCTTTCAATTTGCTTAATTTTGGACGAATAGGGAATGAGATATCGTTTGACTTAACCCGATCCACGATCACCTCTAGTATTAGCTGTTTGCAAGCTCGGCTCATTAAGGATTCGGTTCTTCAAGTAACTAAATGACTTCGAGACAGACTTTTAGACTCATTTAATATATTTATATTAATATTTAAATTTGTGTCAGAAATACGAGTTATATATAATAAAATATTTTTATATTACATAACTATCAACATGTCATTTTTATATAATTTTTAATATAAGTTAACTTTTGAAGTAAAGTAAAAATTAAAATACAAAAAGACAAAGTGAGAAAAAAGAAATACTAAATTTTAAGAGCCAAAAGTAAAAAAAAAAAAAAAAATAGTCAAAGATAACGGGGGCAAAATGTAAATTACCCATAAAAAAGGAAATTGCAATAAGTGGGATCGTTGGAGTGTTGGACAAACAAAAGTTTTGGGGGCTAGAGTCTCACTCTCACTCTCACTCTCGCTCTCGCTTCAGTCATCTCCGACATGAGACATGAGATATGAGCTCGTTTCAATCGGTGCATGCCTTTCTCTTCTCCATCTCCGCAGGTATATATATATACTAGTGGGTGGCACACGCACGATGTGTGTGCAATTTAAATAAGTAGGAATAAAAAACAATAATAATGAAATTAATATTATAATGTGTACTTAGCTTAAGTGGTATGAGTCCTCGTACTTAAACCTATGGTCATCTGCCACATGGCATGAGGAGAGTAAAGCAAGCTTTAGGACACCATATTATGTGTTCACTTTATAATAGTATAGATAGATAGATAGATATTGTTTATTGGTTTTGATTTTAATTTTGATTTGGGTTTTGTTAACAAGTCCCTAGGGCACAAGTAAAAAATAAAAATATTGAAGAACACAAAGCACTCTTTATAAATTTAATATAGTTTTATTGAAATCAATACCCTTTCTCACATATTTTCATGACTCTTTTCAACATTAAACAATGTTTGAGAACACTTATTAGCATTTGTCTTTTAATTTTGACTTTGATTTTAAATTTTGATTTGAGTGTTGCTAATCAGTGGTTCTAGGGCACAAGTAAAAAGACCAAACAAAAAAAAAAAAATGCACTTTTTATTAAATTCAATATATTTTTATTGATATCAATATACCTTTTTACATATTTTCATGACACTGTTTTATACGCAGTCCAAAACTAGAGACTGGTTTGAAAATAGGCTATTTTCGTTGATTATTTTACTTTTTTATTATTATTTTAGTATGACTTAAAAAGGTTATATTTGGAATAATAAGAAAAAATGAAATGATTATAAATTGGATGAGAAATTTTATTTTATTAATTATTTTAGCTAAATAACCTCTACACAATCAGGGTTGAAACAATGCCTATGGTGCAATTGTTAGCACTGAATAGTCAATCTTATGTTAACTTGGATTAGATTGTGATTTGGGTAGAGATTTGAAAATGAAAATGAAAAATAAGAGAAATATAAGTATAGGGTTTATTCCATGTAACTTGGTTTTTTTTGTTGCAGCTATGTCTTTGGTGATTTGGAAGCCCCCTCCTCTTCCTTGGTGGCAATCACTCCGCCGACACCGATTCTGGCTTGAGCACCTCTCCATTGGTACCTCGATTGGCGCGCTATTGAGAAGCATTTTGATTGAGGCAAAACAAAAGCAACGAGAGCATGATAATTTGATGACACGCTTGAAGAGTATCGATGACAAGCTCGTTTTGAATTGCAAAGAGCTTGATGCCACTCAGCAAATGATTGAGAAGTGATTGAGAAGAAGATGAAAAAGCCCTACACTTAATCATATATCTAATTCTTTTCTCTTTTTTTGTTTTTTTTTTGTTTTAAATGTACAATGGCCGTGCTGGCAAACTTTCTAGTTCTAGTTCGTGTTTTTTTGGTTTTAACGAACAACGGTCATGGTGGCAAATGGCAAACTTTAGTGCCATTATTAAAATAAGTTACTAACAATTTTTAAGCTAGTATGAACTTTCATATTTTGTTGAGAATTTTTTGGTTTTCTTGCTTTTTATTGTTTGGTTTTTCAACTTTTTTCTTCTCTAGTGTGTTGCAGCCTGAAGATTTTGTTAGTTTGAATGGCAGGATTAAGTTCCCAGAAAAATGAAAAAAAATAAAATAAAAATCCAAAGGAATTTGATGAATATCACTGGTTATGATGTAAATTGCCAGGATTAGTTTTGAACCCACTCATAGTCATTGAGAAAGACGAAAGAATGAAAACTTATTTACAAAACGTGTAGAAGTTCATTCCAAAAAAAAAAAAATGTAAAAGCATATAATTGTTTTGTTTTCTATAATTTTGAAAATCTACTTACATTTTTAGAATGTGTCAAAACTTTTTTCATTTATAGTATGCAAATTTTATTCAAAAACAAGAAAAAAAGAAAAAGAAAAAAAGAGTAAATAAAAACATTACCGCAGTAGGGAAACAATTTTAATAATCAACACCTTTACAAAGCTTCCTTGCAATATAACATCCTTTTAAAAAGGCATCTATAAAAACAATCATAGACATATCTATAGAATATCCATCACAGAACTAAGATAATAAAATGATATCTCATGAAAGTATCAAATTTAAAAATAGCATAACAGCCGATGACTCCAACTTTAGATTACAATTCAAGAATCTGCTCGAGATTGGCCTGCTCGAGATGAGAGAATGATCCCAACAATGAGACCGTAGAGAGCAAGGGCTTCAGCAAAAATGAGGATGAGGATCATACCCACAAATAGCTTCGGCTGCTGTGCATTAGCCCTGAAAATAATAAACCCCAAAGAAGTAAATAGAATATCCTCATAAAGCCAAAGCAGCATTTTTAACATTTTACTCATCACCCAAAAGAAAAAAGAGAAAGTGTGAGATGCTAGAAGAGAAGCGTGGGCATCATTTCTCAAGAAAAAAACAGTAGAAAGCTATTCTTTCCACATGTCCAAAACATTGAACATGAGACAAAGTTCATTGTACCAACTGGCCAGAGAGAGAGAGAGAGAGAGGGAGATTTTACTCTTTCTGCCCATGGCTTGCATCCACAAGGGAAACCACCTGTTGCCAGTCAACCCCATAATTGGCAACTACCACCCTCTTCTTCAAGTCAAGTGTATCATTTTCCATGTCAAACTTCACACAACCACATACCAGAACTAAATTTAAGTGCTTTACTAGCCTAGCCTCCTAGCCAAACCACCCCTCCTTGCAACGAGAAGACACCATTCCCAATTCACAAGATGGCATACAAACTACATTCCAACAAATTGCACAGCAAAGCTCTGTGAAGTAAACCCAGAAACAAAAACAAAGTGGGTAGGGAGACTGTTTAAAAAGTGCTAGCTTAAAGATAAATTCCTTAGCAATAAGTAAGAATGCTACCAAGTCATCATACTTCTGTCTCATCTTTCAAATCTAAAATATTTTTTGGGTAGAGCTCATTCCTAAGGTCTAAATTTATTTATTTATTTTATTATGCTAACATTGTGTCTATGAATCTTTTATGTCTAAACCATAAACAATCACATGTTTTGCTACTCACGCACGACACAAGTGCAAAATATGGATCTAAATTAGTACCTTTCCATCAAAAGAAGTTTTAAGAAGCGGGATTGTACTTCTGTCTCATCTTTCAAATCTAAAATATTTTTTGGGTAGAGCTCATTCCTAAGGTCTAAATTTATTTATTTATTTTATTATGCTAACATTGTGTCTATGAATCTTTTATGTCTAAACCATAAACAATCACATGTTTTGCTACTCACGCACGACACGAGTGCAAAATATGGATCTAAATTAGTACCTTTCCATCAAAAGAATTTTTAAGAAGCGGGATTGTACACATGTCAGGATACATGACACCAAGGCAAGGGTATGGTGAATGTGCTCGACATATCTAATTGGAACTGCACCCAGCATTCATTACTAGTAATCGAAGTTTACCACAAAATTGCAATAAAGTCCCCTATTATGTTGCTTTAGTGACGTAATGTTTCACAATGAGAAAAGTCAACATGCTTAATGCTGCATGCTATATAAAAATATCATTTTACTAAGGGAAACAAAGAAGAAATATGAACATTTAGCCATGATCTGGTGTCCTTGTGCTTGGGCATTAGATGACTTTGATGCTCATACTCCACACCCAAAACACACTCTATCCAATAACATTTACTGTATATGGATATATATACAATCATGTTTCAATTAAACTATAAGAATCTTATCAACTTCTTGGTGACTTTAACAAGAAAGTTGGGCTCACCAACATTTCAAATAATAGATCCAAAACAATAAGACAAGAGAGACACTCCAACCTTAATCTTAAACATAAGCTTCCAAAATATTATACATATTAGTTCCACTTCCTAAGGAACCAAATTACAGCTCAAAGACAAAGCTTAAGTGTCAATGTACAATAATAATTCTTCTAATAATTCCACTTGTAGGAGTGAGCAAATTAGCAAAAAGTTGTGTGCAAAAATTATTAAATTTGAAAACATTATTTTTCAATACCTATGAAGCACGGACACGGACACGCATACAGACATGAATACGGACACCAGACACGGCAATTTTTAGAAAATGGGGACACAGACACGGCAGGGGACACGGCAAATTTTTTAATTTTTTTTATAAATATTTTTATTTGAATACATATTAATTATTTTATTTATTTATTATATTTTTTAAATAATGTGTTCCAATTAATTTTTTATTTAATTTTACATACATGTGTTTATTTTTTTTATTATTAATATGTATAAGTATATATTATCTTATAATATGTATTATATATTATCTTATAAGTATATTATATGTTAGATAATAACTATTATATAATATATAATAATAATAGTTATATATATATATATGAATCAAGAAGATAGACGAGACGACACAGAGAGAGAGAGAGAGAGAGAGAGGGAGACAAAAGCGAGATCGATCGTGATCGTGATCACGAGGGAGAGAAAGAAGGCGAGAAGTCGAAGGGCTTTGAATCATTGAAGTCGAAGGGGGGCTATAGCTAGTTGAAGTGGACTCAAAGCCAAAGGGCTATCACTAGTCGAAATGAACTAGATGGAGGTTGATTGGCTCGAGATCGAAGTCATGAGAGAGCAAAGCTTACGGTGGAAGTCGTCCAAATTGAAGTCGCCGTCCAGGTTTGTACTCCTTTTCTCTTTCGTCTTCTCGCCGACCGTGTCGCATGGCGTGTCCACATTTGGACACGCGTGTTCTCGCACTGTCTCCGCCGTGTCCTTTGCAAAAAAATAAATTAAATTAAGGGGACATGCCATTTGGCATGTCCCGTATGTGTCCCCGTATCCGACACCGCCACGGCTTTCATTTTGATGTGTCCATACTTCATAGTTCAATACTTTTTTTCAGTTTTTTCTATTACATTGAGAGTGCATAGTTAATAAAAATTGTAGATGCTAGACTATTATTTTGCTTTTGATTATTCTCTTCAAGACACTAGATTCATATATATACATATATATATATATATATATATCAGTAAAAAAGGCATATTATATAAACAAAGGAACCAAGGGGGTGCCCAACCTGTACACAAAAAGATGAGACAACTCTATGTAAAAAAATGCTGACTCCAAGGACTCAGCTAAGTCCAAAACTAGATTTGAGGACGGATTAACCCTCTCAAAATAATAATCAAGGCTATTAATTTTCATAACTTCCCTGACATCACCAGCACTTCAAGCTTGCTTCACATAGCATGCATTTATTAACCCCAACTTGACACAAAATTAGCCATTATCAAAATTTCGTCAACGAGTTCTAACAAACAGAAAAAAAATACTTTAGAAATTCAACTGAAGCAGAGAATAAAGTAGAACAAGGGCACAATAAGAATTCATATGGGCTTAGAAGGAACCTATGCGATCAAGTTTAGGCTTATCATAAGTTTTGATTATATGCTTTCTATAAGTTAATGTGTTTGTCTGTTTCCACTTATTTGGAACTTAGTGATCTTAAAATTTGAATACACATGTTATAGTAGATGTACTTAAAAAAATTAGTGTGTTTGGTTTCACTTATTTGGTTTTCAACTTATTTGTCTTTTCAACTTAAAATAAGCTTAAAAAACTTAACGAAATTTTTGCTATTTCTGGCCAAGTGGATAGCCAAATGAGGCTACAACTTATTGACTTATTTGGCTGAAAAACCAATAAGATTGGCTTTTAAGCCACGACCAAAGGAGTAACAACCAACTCGTGTTTAACATCTTGTTGTGTTTTGGGTAACAAGGATATTTTGACAACTTTAAAATTTGTTGGAATGGACTACACAATGGGCCCATAGGACTTATTATATGTGATTTATATTGGATATAAAATAGTCAAAGTTTTAAAAAAGTTAGTATCCTATTTATGAAATTCAAATCCTATATTTGCTAGTTCACTATCAACCAACAAATGATTGATATTAAGAGAATTAGTAGTAGCCCAACAATTTACAAATATCTATTTAGGCTCCCTTTGTTTTGACGTAAAATGTTTTTGTCAAAAATATTTTCCTCATTTTCCGTTGTTTGATTGAACAAAAAGTAAATAAAATATTTTTGCATCATTTTCCCAAAAATGACTTGCCTTTAAAATTTTCATGAGTCAATTTTTGTGAAGTTGACTCTCACCCACTACCTTTTCAACACATTTAGCCTTTTCAAATAAGTATCTTAACTCACTAAAAAGTCATAAATAACACTTTGCTGAATTAAAATTTCTCTTTTAGGCAATAAAATGTTTTTATTTCAAATATCAACCAAACACCGAAAAACAAAAACAAAAACAAAAACATTTTTTTGTGTAAAATCAATTTACAAGAAAAATATTTCTCTGTGTAAAATATTTTAAGTCAAAACAAATGGAGCCTTAATGTTGTTAATCAATAAATTGAATTTTAAGGATTTGAGATGGTCCTTTTGTCTTCTAAACTTATAGTTTAGCCTTCGTGAGGGTGAAGCCTTTAAATTCTTCTTCTACTCATGACCCAACTTGGTTACTATTGTTCATAGCCCAATTTCATCACAAATCAACTCAGACCTAAGATGGGTGGCATGATCTTATTGGATGAGTCCAACCCATGCCAAGTGACATGATGGGATGGGATAAGTTAACACCTCCAATCGGTGGTTAAGTCTTAATTAAAACGAAATCTAAATTATCACAATCACTAAGGAATAAAGGCTTACTGGGGGTGTTTGGCAAATGCTATTTTTTGGCTTTTTAGGCTAAAATCACAAAAAGACAAAATAAGCTAAAATAGCCAATAAGACAAAATGGGTGCTTGGGAAGTTGCTATTTCAGTAGGCTATTTTAGCAAGCTAAAATTTGTGTGTTTGGGAAGATAGTTGAATTTTTTTTTAGTTGGATGTGATATTTGTGAGAAAAAAAAGTGAAATGATTATGGATTTGATGTGATATTTTGTCTTATTAGCTATTTTAGCCTATTTTGTCATTTTGTAGATTTTAGCCCAAAAAGCCAAAAAGCCAAAAAAAGCCTTTGCCAAACACCCCCAAAATGTCACATCAAACCCATAATTTCAATTTTTCTCTCACAAACATCACATCCAACTACAAAAAAAATCCAACTGTCTTCCCAAACATACAAATTTTAACCTACTAAAATAGCCAAAAACTAAAATAGCCCACTACAATAGCAACTTCCCCAACACCCACACTATCTTATTAGATAAGAAGATAAGAGGAAAAGTCTAGTTTGGATTGGTTTAGGATATCCTACCTCTCATCTAATAAGAAGATAAGTCTTCATTCCTTATTGAATGTAATACTTTAGATTTCATCTTTGATTAAGACTTAACCACCGATTGGGAGTGTTAACTTTTACCATCATGCCACATAGCATGAATTGGATTCACCTAAGATAATGCCACCTAACCATCTTAGTCCTAAATTAATTTTACCTCCTCCACAATAAACTAGCATTTACAAAGCAAATTAGGTCACAAAAGATATATAAGACGTCCAGATAGTAGTTTACTGAGTTTAGCTTCCTAAGTTACAAGTAGATTAAGGAGTTAATTGTAAAAAGGAACAAAAAGCAACTTGTAGCAGTTTAAAAGGTGTCAAATCTTTAATATCCCAACATCTAGTGAAAATTATTGTGTGCTATTGGAGCATCACACATCCTTGCTCCAAGAACCCCATACTCTAACGATAAATGTCACCCGTACTAGTAGAGCTAAGTCATGACACTAAAACAAAGTGATGACCACATTAGTAAGGGTGACATTTTGTCATTAGAGCACAAGACCCACCATGTGAATTTGGCTTAAGAAGGCCCAATAACTTCTCAATGTCAATACTAAGTTACAAGCACATGCACATTGGAGCACACACCATGCACGTTGCAATTATTTATTGTCGTGTGCGGCAATACCTCAAACCCATCTACCATCAAAAATTTGTGTGGATCCCATGTTTGATGGATTTGGAGTATCGTCGTATGTGACGGTGAATAATTTTTCCCATTAATGACTCCTAAAAGAGATTTTTGAGGAAAAAATGCATAATAATCCTTCAACTCTTTATCAATAGAAACCAAAGATATAGATTGATAGCACTAACCTAAGAAGCACGGACACTTCTAAAAAGGTAACGTATCCGTGTCGTGTCCGTGTCGGACACCGACACTCTTTGGACACTTTTCCGACACGTGTCCGACACTCTTTATAACGTGTCCTATCTTTTAAAGACCCGGACACTCTATGGACACTTGGAGGACACACGTGTCCATCTCTTAAACACACATGTCTATCAATTAGACACATGTGAAACTAATTATAAGTTTGAACAAAACAACTTAAGATACAATAATAAAACAAAAATCATATAAATTTATAGGGATTAATGTCATATTGCATTTTTTTATTATTTTTGAATGATATATTCATATATATAACATATAATAAATATATAAAATTATATATTTCATGCGTGTCCCCGCGTGTCGTGTCCTACATTTTTTGAAAATTATCGTGTCGGCGTGTCCGTGTCGTATCCGTGTCGTGTCACGTGTCCGTGTCCGTGTCCGTGCTTCTTAGGCACTAACAACATATTTATCAAACATCCCCATTAATAACCACTGAAACTACAAATGGATTAGCAAAGGGATTACCTAACTCCTGCATCACCAACAATTCCAATTGCCATTCCAGCAGAGAGACCAGCAAGCCCGCAAGCAAGACCGGACGACAAATGCGCATAACCATCGAACAAGTAATAAGATTTTGCCTTTGGGTTTATCCCCGTACTAATAATAACAGCTATAATCAACCCATAGATACCCAAAACTCCAGCCATAACCACAGGAACAATTGATTTCATGACAAGCTCAGGCCTCATAACTCCCATGGAGGCAACACCAACCCCACTCTTTGCAGTCCCATAAGCAGCACCCATGCCTGTGAATAAACCATCACGACCACTCAGAAACAACCAGAAGTGCTGATTGTTTCAATAGAAAGTAATTCCTATGTATTTGTTTCAATGTTCTGTGTGGATCATGGATTTTGATAAGCACTTGGAAAAGGACAATAAAATGAACGAAAAATTTAACTTATATTTCCTTGTCTCTTTCCAAATCCTTACTCAAATCCATAATCCAAACACAGTCACAGTCTAAAATGTTTTTTCTTTCTTTTTGGGGAAGGCCCCAACATGGCTGCAAAAGGGCGACTAGAAACACTTAAAAACATTTAAATGGCTCTGTTTGTAGATAGATTCTCTAAGATTCCGATTTATCTATATACTATTATCTAAAAAAGCACATAACTCAAAACAATTTTGGAAATTTTGTCACACTTTTTTTTTACCCCTCTCTTTACAATAAATAAATGGTAAAAGTTTTCACATTCAACCCTTCAAATCGCCAAAAAAATTATATATAAAATTGTTGCACCCACTGCAAGTATAAATTCATATGCTAACATGCCGGTAATACCAAACAGAACCGTTTGTTTCCACAGAAAGTCGTGTTCTTTTTTATTCCTAGGCAAAATCGTTTTCCGGGAAAACAAACGGTGATCAAAAGCTATATATATATATAATTAAGAGATCGAAGAGGGAGGTTGAAGAGAGATTTACAGGAGAAAACGAGTGCCGCGGCGGCTCCAAGGAAGCCGAAGAACGGTGCCGTTTCGTCGCCGCTGAAAGTTGAAGACGACATGATTGATTACAGAGAGAGAGAGAGAGAGAGAGAGAAAGAGAGATCTGGAAGAAGAAGACGCAGAACTAATGATAAAATGCAATACCAAAGTTTGCTTTTTTTTTTCGAAGGGCTGGATTTAATGGATGGGTCAGTGGCGGATATATTTTCCGGGAAAACAAACGGTGATCAAAAGCTATATATATATATAATTAAGAGATCGAAGAGGGAGGTTGAAGAGAGATTTACAGGAGAAAACGAGTGCCGCGGCGGCTCCAAGGAAGCCGAAGAACGGTGCCGTTTCGTCGCCGCTGAAAGTTGAAGACGACATGATTGATTACAGAGAGAGAGAGAGAGAGAGAAAGAGAGATCTGGAAGAAGAAGACGCAGAACTAATGATAAAATGCAATACCAAAGTTTGCTTTATTTTTTCGAAGGGTTGGATTTAATGGATGGGTCAGCGGCGGATATATCGATTTGTCAAAATTAATCAAATTAAATTGATTTATTACATTGGATGGATGTGTAATGACGAGCAGACGGTTGCAGATTGATTTTTTTTAATTCGTTAATTTGGCAGACGGATGGCGGATTTAAGATTTTTTTGGCTGCAATCGAACCGCCAAATGGCCAAATTGCGAGCACCCCTAATAATTTATAAAATTTTGTATTTTCAATTTATTTAAATATTATGTTTGTGTTTTCAATTAAAAAAGAATTTAAATATTCTGATGAAAAAAAAGTTTTTAACTTGAATATATTTTTTGAATTGAAAAAAATAAACGTATTATTTATCTATATTTTTTGATTTTTAAATTTAACTCTAAAAATAATAAATATAAAATATGATATATGCTGGTTGGTTTTTGTTTTCAAAAACATAGGTAGATGTAACAATACAGAGACATATAATCTCTACTATTGCTCTGTTCATGGTTTTGGTGATTTGAATTGTTATTATATTTTAAGAATCACAAATTGTAATACTTTATGTGGATGAATCATGATGTGATTGTAATATGTGGATGAGGCATGCAGTGATCGTGATATTCTAAAATTTTAAACTTTCTTTCTTTGGATAAGGCATACAGTGATTGTAATACTTTTTTAAGTCATTGATTGTAATACTTTCTTTTTCTTTTTATTCTTTTATTCTTTTTTTTGAGGAAGTGCACAAGTTGAATTATGATGAAAAATTATAAAGTTTTAAACCGTCAAACCGATTCGCATCCATCCGCCAAATCGCTAACCCGTTCAATCCACATCCGCCGAATTGGCGGACGGATGTCGATTGATTTTCTTCAATCCGTTAATTTATTATGATGAAAATTTATAAAGTTTTAAACCGTCAAACCGATTCGCATCCATCCGTCAAACCGCTAATCCGTTCAATCCACATCCGCCGAATTGGCAGACAGATGCCGATTGATTTTCTTCAATCCGCTAATTTAACAGACGAATAACGAATTAGAAGTTATGTGGCCGCAACTAACCCGCGCCCAACCCTAATTTAAAGGGTTGGGCTTCGATTGTTGATTTGCCCTTCCTCTGTTTTGATTTGGGTTTGACGTGAGAGAGAGAAAATAGGTCGGAACTGTGGTGATTGACCAGAGTGGTGGGAGCGTCTAAAATATATTTTAATTACAGAAAATATCAGTGTATGTTTTGTTAAAAAAAATTAGGTAAATTACAAATATACTTTTAAAAATCGTTTAAAATACGAATTATTTTGTAGTTTAAAAAATTATAAATATTTTTTATCAGAATTTTTTATTTAATAGAATTAATTTAAAAAGTAAAATTTCTAACTGTTTACCTATATAATAATAAAATTATTTAAATTATTAATTGAAATAAAATTTTAACATTATTAAAAACTGTTAATTAACTTGATGATTTATTAATAAAATGACCTATTTGTTATGAAATTAGAAATCTTAGGGGCATAATGTAATTTTTAGAATTACGAAAGTAATTTATAATTTAAATAAACCTCATGGGGTGTATTTGTAATTTATCTAAAAAAATTAATAATTTTAATTTTAAGGGAGTGTTTGGTCTCTAAAAGTATTGCTTCACAAGCTTAGACGCACCAAAATTGAGGCACTATAACATATAAAAATTTAGAGATCAAATATTTTGATATTTAAAAGTGAAAATTTTGTTATAAAAGATATTTAGGAATCAATTTCTATTATTATGAGGATAATTGTTAAAAAGTTACGTTGAAAAGTTAAAAATAAGACTTTTAGCGATAAAATTTTAAAAATATCACTAACAAATAGATTTTTAGAAACAAAATAATTTAGTCTCAAAATGATTTATTTTTTTAAATAAAAAATTTAGTTTCAAAAAGATAATAATTAATTATTAATATCTAATTTTTATTACTAAAAATATACTAACAATATTTTTTATAACAAAAATATTTAATTTCTAAAAAATAATTTTACCTCTTTTTTTTGTAGTGCGATTAGTTAAAAAAAGGATTGTCGGTTGTGCTTTTGTGGCAAAAGGTGCAATCAACTTTGGTTAAGTGCAAGCACACGTCATGTCGATTTTAATCCCAATTTTTAAATCCGACCACCACCGGATTGGCTTCTAACGGACTGAATTTGTTGGTGCATCCAAACACTCTGAAATGTGATATAATACATTCGCGACCAAGCAAACATGGGTTGCAACCTTTCAATTTTTACCACGTGTAAACAACCAAAATGAGTGTGACATTAACTTAAACGTGCAACATTTAATAGAGCTTCTAATTCCACGCAACAATTTTACTTATTACATATTATTTTTTGAATTCTTATTACAATTGTGCTCTTTAAATAAATTATCGTTGAAGATAATATATACAATTTTCCTTCACCAACCTTCATCATTAGTCATCACTCTTTGCCACTTTCATCCTTCACTTGCCACCACTACCCCCACCTCACCAATGTAACCCTTAGTCCCCTAACACCATGACTCCCCACTATTGTAAGCCCCATTCGTACAACCCACATCGTAGTAAGAGAGATGGAGATTTAGGTTTGAAAATAAAAAAGAAGAGAAAAGGTTGTGGCATGGTGACAAAGGGAAATGTTGGAGTAGAGATGGAGTTGAGAAGGGAAAGCGAGATAGGAATGGGAGAGGATATAAATGGTTGTAGAAGATAGGGGAGAGGTGGGGGAGAAAGGGTGTAGTAAAAGAGAAGTAGAGGAGCAAGAGAGGTAGAGCTAATAAGTGATTAAGTTAGGATTAATATTTGAATATAATGTATTATGTATTTTTTTTTTTTTCTGATGTACCCAAAAAAATGTGAAAAATGTTTGGAATTCCCTGTGATGTGGATCAATGATGTGTTTGTATTATTATTTTTTTTTTCTTTTTCTTACTTGAACCAAACACACGTAAGTAAAAGTTGTGGGGATGAGATTTTGTGAGGGTCTGAATCATTACTGAATATATATATATATATATATATAATGTATTATGGGAATAAAATGGTATATAAACTAAAAGTAAAATTCAAAATATCAAAATGTGTATTGAGTGCTAACTAATGATTTGAGATAAATTATAATGCATAAATAAAAGCTCCTAGTAATTAATGAAATGATGCATTTTCATGAAATATCTACTCTTCTTCCCAAAGTAAAAAAAATTCATTCAAACATATTTCATTACCATCGTTATAACATTTTTTAGAATATGTACGTGATTTGATTACATTAAATCCCTTAAATTTTTTAGAAATCTAGCTAACACAATAAAGTAGAAAATAAGCACTCAAACATATTTCGGCTACATTTGGCATATAGGTTATTTAAGCTAAAATAGTCACACAAAAAAAAAAAAAAGTGAAAAAGTTAATAAAATAAAATATCGCATCTAAATTATAATTATTTTATTTTTTTTCTTACAAAAGTTAAAAAATCAAAAAAAATTATACCAAACGAAATTTTTTAATCTCAAACTAAAATAGTTAAAAAATTAAAAAATTAGTTCACATTCCAAACGAAGGCTTCATTACCTTATTGTTATGATATTTTGTAGGGTATGTATGGGATTTGATTTGAATATATTTTTAAAATTTTTAGCTAACACGATAAAGGAAGTGAGTAAAGTATTTAAATTTGGTTTGAAATATTTAGAAGAAATTGGTCAAAATTCCTTTATAACAAAATTTTTTTGCATTAAAAACAAACATAAAAATTTCTTTTTGAAAAGATCAACCCAAGCCACTGTTATCACATCAATGAGTTATTTGAGATGCTACTAAAATAACAAAAAAAAATTTCTTCATATATTTTTAGATCAAATCACCTATTTATTTTTTTACACATTTTTTTTATAAAAAATAAAAAATAACCTAATTCCAAACAATTCTCAAATATTTAATTATTTAAACCTGATTTAAAAATTTTCTTGAATTATTTATATAAGAGCATTAGCATCAGTATCTTCAAAATAATAAAAAGTTAAAATATAGCTAATAAATCATCAAATTCTCCTTCCATCAGTCTCAACAAATTTTTTCTAAATTAAGTTTTTGTTAAATTTGTTACAGTAACTCCTCTAATGAAGGGAGCAACTGTTCATCGCTGAAACACGCGATTTGAGTGTAATCGGACATTCGTTCGGAAGTCCGGCCTGTCAACGGCAAATTTTTTATTTTTTTTATTTTTACATTTCCTCCAGTTTTACCTTTTCGTAAAACATAAGAATTATTTGGTTGATAGCTTATCAATTTTTTTTTATAAAAACAAAAGAATAACAAATATTTTAATAGAATTAAGTTAAAATAGAGAGTTTGATACAGTATATGACTAGCTAAAATAGAAAAATAGCTTTTTAAATTATAATTTGACAAAAATTTTGAAGAGACTAATACTGATACTCTAAGAAGGTGGATTGAACAAACTTTTACGGCCCTATTTTTAGGGGCTGGTTGGGAAAAAAGATTTTTTATTTTTTGGATTAAAATAAAATTAAAAGATAAAATAAATTAAAATAATTAATAAAATAAAATACTATATTAAATTTATAATTATTTTATTTTTTTTACAAATATTATATTTAATTGTTAAAAAAATTAATTATTTTCTCAAATATAATTATTTTAATTTATTAAAATAATCAATAATTAAAATAAGCTATTAACAAAGCCAATTTTCAAAACGAGGCTTTAATTTTTTTTTTCTTCTCTTTCTTTTTAATTTTTTGTCCTTTTTGTTCAACTTTGCGTCAAAAAGCTTGAAACAGCGAGTCCACTGCTCCGCTCTCTCTAAAGACCGAGAGTAGCAGAGAGAGAGAGAGAGAGAGATGGCTGATTCGAAGGTTGAGACTATCTCGAGACTGGCTCAATGGAGGATCGAGAACTTTGGACCTTGCACTTTCAGAAAGTCCGATCCTTTCAAGGTCGGAATTTGGAATTGGTAAACCCCCTTCCTCTCTCTCTCTCTACTCCTCCTCCTCTTTCTCTCTCTCTAAATCTATATCTATATTCGATACACTTACCTGTACAGTTGTTTTAGTTCATATCATTGGAGTGAATTTGATTGCTTTGTTTGTTGTTGATTCCAATTTTCAGGAACTTGTCAATTGAGAAGAATCGGTATCTATACATTCGTCTCTTTCCAGAACCTTCTCGAGCTTCGAAAGAACAGCCTCCCATCGCTAGATTTGTTCTTCGAGTCTCCAATACCGGCGCTAATCGCAAACTCTACATCTCTCCAAGTATGCAATTTACACACATAGTTACTCTATGTAGTTCATGCGAATATCTATATTCATTGCTTCATGGTATTTAACGATTGCAGAGTTCATGCTTGCTTTCTTTGTGAATTGTGAGTTATTTATTTATTTATTTATTTATTTATTTTTTGGTTTTGGGTTTTTTGATGTAAAGAGTTGAACTCATTGACCATTCCAAAAGTTGGTGTTTGCTTGAGTCATGGTTGTGACACGTTTTTCCATCTGAATAAGACATATAATTTGGGAACAGCTCAAACACTGGGGAAATGAGAGAGGGGACAGAAAATAGTAAAAGTGATATATGGAGCTTGGTATGATCGTTACCCTGAAAACTGAAATACATAATATGGGCTCTTTGCAAAATTATTTACTTACCGAAGATTTGTTTTTCAGTTTTTCAGTTGCTTATGCGGCTTACGCCATTAGTATCTTATATGTTTATGAAGGCTGTGGGATAGAACTTTCCATTAAACAAAGAGTATTACGGGCTAGGGCTTCTATCTATTTTTATTCCAGCTTAGCTGCGGATCCACTTCCAACGTCTTCTAGGCTAAGATACTGTTTTTATATAGTTTCTTGTTGTTACACTTTATTCTCAAATGGTTGAAGGTTCTGAACTGATGACCTCTAAAGATGCTCAAAAGCACAAGGAGCCAAGATACTTTATATGGTGCCAACAGACTCTGAAATTTTATCACTTCTAACTCCTTGGGTGGAAATCTGCTCCCTCGATGACATGAATTTTGATAACAGAACATGATATCACATAGCTCATGTATTTTGCTTATTGTATGTCCCGTTACCAAGAAGTCAACTGTCCTACTGTTTATTTCAATCATTATTTTTTATGTTGGTGGTTCCTTTCAGACCTTCTGTAGGTACTCATATTAGGCAGGTGGTATGATGGTATGTTTTTATCAGTCCAACTGTTTTTATTCTGAACTTGCACTGAACTCTTTTTACTAGCTAGGTATGGTAATTGGTGAGCATGTGTGCTTCTAGGGAACTTTGCCCTTTGCCTTCTTTCTTTCGCAATCATTAAGATAGTAAAGTTCAGAAATAAACTGTACTATGACTTTTTTGGCTTTCAACATTGCCCTTTTTGCTAGCTGTGGGAATTTACGAGAGCTTAAATTTATGCAAACATGTACAGATAACTTGAAAAAAAAAGAAAAGAAAAAAAAAAGGGTATGAGAGTTTAAATGCATACACAATGTGACCCCCTGTCCATTTTGGGTCAAGGATAATTGCTAAATTAACTTGAGATGTCTTGTTCCAAATTGGCCAATTAGCAGCGTTGTCATATTCTCATCCAAAGATACAGGCATTATACGTGAGAATTTAGATGCAAAAACTTAAGGTATTGCCTTGCTCATATTTTACAGGGGTTGTTTTATAGTGTTGACAATTATTGAAGTATGAGTTATAAATTTTTTTATTAAAATGTACACATTAATAGGGATAACTTTAGTACATAACTGATGTACCATGTGTGTATCATGCACTATATGTTGATGCCTACATTGCTTCATGTTGCAGTTCATGAGAGACTGCTGCGGACTAGTGATGACTTTGTCTGGCCTGTTGATTCCACCTTTCTTGGTCGCTTCATCATTGATGTTGAGTTTTTGGACCTGAAGATCTGTCCAACAAATGTGAGGGGCTCTGTTTATATGATATATGTTGTATGTTGTGTTTGGATCTTGGATTTGCACAACGAAGTGATATTAAAAAAAAAAGAAGAAGAAAGAAGAAGAAAACGAAGACGAAGTAAAAGGCTCTCTTTGTTGGTTGGCTTAAGAAAATGAAAAATATTTTAAAAAATCCATTTTTGTTCAATTACCAATAAAAAATAAATATGCACAAGTAATTTTGTTTTCCTTTCATTTTCTTTTCTCTTGGTAAATTCAAGATCCAAACATGGCTTTAGTGTATCTGAATTTCGATGCTAAACTCAAAATGTGCTCTAGTTGGCTCATTGGGTTTTTTAGTTTGTATAATGTCTTTCCAGACTAACACAATCAACACAAGTCCCTAAAATAACTATTTCATTGCTTGTAAACACAGGGTGGGGAAGCCAGTTCCATTTGGCCCAGTGATGGAATGATGCAATCTCTAGCAACCCAAAATGCTCTTCGATGCCTCTCTCGGATGCTTGATGAGGCTGTACATACTGATGTCACCATCAATGCTGCTGACGGCACGCTTAGAGCTCACAAGGCCATACTCGCTGCAAGTTCACCCGTGTTCCAGAGCATGTTCCTGCGCAACCTCAGTGACAAAGAATCATCCACAATTGACATACGAGACATGTCTCAGGAGTCCTGCATGGCTCTTCTCAGTTACTTGTACGGAACCATAAAACAAGAGGATTTCTGGAAGCACCGGCTGGCATTGCTGGGGGCAGCGAACGACTACGACATTGCGAACCTGAAAGACTCTTGCGAGGAAAGCCTCTTGGAGGACATTAACTCAGGGAATGTCCTTGAGCGGTTGCAGGAAGCATGGATTTACCAGCTTGACAAGTTGAAGAAAGGATGCTTGATGTACTTGTTTGATTTTGGCAAGGTTTACGATGTCAGAGATGAGATTACTAACTTCTTCAGGCAAGTAGACCGGGAACTGATGTTGGAGATGTTTCAGGAGGTGCTTACTGTCTGGAAACCAGCATAAATCTCCATCAGGTGCTGTCAGATAACTTATTTTGTATATACATACATATATGCCAGTGGTTTGTATATGGCATCTAAGGTTATACTATGTTGGAACGCATAGTTTTGAGATCAGCTGTTTTATATAGAGAATGTGCCTTGTTCTATTACCTGTTCTGGGTTTTGAAGTGTCCTGATGCTCGTCAATGTTCAGTATCCTAATGCTCGTCAATGTTCAATATCAAACCTCTAATTTGAAATGGAAAATATAGCATGACTGATATTTGCTTCATAAGTAACATTAACAATCAATTAGAACAATCATTGTTGCGCTGCATGACTGATGCCTGCGTCATTAGTAACATTAACACTTAATTAGAATACTCATTCTTGTGCTCGTTTTGTATTAGCAAATGTGACTTGACAAGCTGTTTTTGAGCTTGAGAGGTTTTGGTTGATTGCCTAAATGACTTACAATTAGTTTATAATTGGCATACTTGAGAATCAAGTCAGCTGGAGGCTGAGGTAGATAAGATTCATATTGGCTTTGCTGAATTTGGGTTTACAACTTTAAGCGGTAAATTTGGAGAAATTTCAAGCTCGTCAAAGAATGGATGCCTGGATGAAATAGAGGGAAATAGTTCAGTTACTCATACGAAAAATGAAAGGCCAAATTGTATAGTTATTTTTCAAGTTGTCAAAATCGAGATTTTTCAATTTGGGCGAACGACTGAGATTCTTTTCTTCAACATAAAGTTGGAATCCCAAATTCTACAATTTCAAATTCATTGACGCAAATGGTTTCGCTCTTTGTGTTTGGATTTCCAATTATGAAGTAAAAAAAGAAAGTGAAGGGGGGAAAATTTAGCCTAGCCTCAAAGAATGAAATGTTTGGTGAAGTTTTTGAAGAATTAAAAACAATTATATATGAGAGTTATACATTATCCTAACAACACTTACATATACTCGCATAATAGACTCAAAACTCTATTTCAGAAACAGGATTCTCTTTGGTCCATATGGCGATTTGAACAAGTCTATTCCAATAGAATTTGTAGATCATTAATTAAAAAAAAAAAAATCAAATTGAAGAATTTGAAAATATTCATTCATTTCTTCTTATTTTCTGTGTCAATTTTTTTTTTAAAAAAAAGTCAATTTTCTATTTTATTTTTCCTGTGATCTACAAAGTCAATTTTAAAAAAAAGATTTTTTTTGATTGAAAGTGTCCATTTCTTTTTCCTTTTCTTATTAGTCGATTTTAAAAAAAAAATTCAAGAATTTTCGTTCTTTTTTTGTTTTTACCTCTACAATAAATCTTAAAACTTGTAGTTTGATAATAGGATATTTTAGGAAATTTTTAACTTTTTATGAAAAAATTGTATTAAAAAATAGATACATGATATAATTAAAAAAATATAAAAAGACAATAAGTATACTATTTACCCAAAGCTTAACCTATCCTCAATACCAAAAAAAAAATAAAAAAAATAAAAAGACTACTTCATCAGACTGATAGGATAGGGTGTGTTTAATCAATAAATTTTTTTAAAAAGTGATGATTAGTTTTTTAAAATTAATAACACATTAGTGAAGTTCTTAAAACTTTCCCAATTTCTTTATCTCTTTAAAAAAAATGATGATTATTTTTTCTCTTTCCATATATTGCTTCGGTTGATGTGGTAAGTCATTGGCTTGTTTAGAATGATATAAATAAATATATTTTTAAATTTTTATAAAATAATATACAAAAAAATAATAATAATAAACAGAATTAAAAAAAAAAAAAAAAATCAAATTGAAGAATTTGAAAATATTCATTCATTTCTTCTTATTTTCTCTGTCAATTTTTTTTTTTATAAAAAAGTCAATTTTCTCTTTTATTTTTCCTGTGATCAAAGAAAGAAAAAAAAAAAAAGATTTTTTTTGTTTGAAAGTGTCCATTTCTTTTTCCTTTTCTTATTAGTCGATTTAAAAAAAAAAATCAAGAATTTTCGTTCTTTTTTTGTTTTTACCTCTACAATAAATCTTAAAACTTGTAGTTTGATAATAGAATATTTTTAAAAAAATTTAAGGAAAATTTACCCATAAATCCTAGTTTCTGAAAAGTTGAACCATTTAGTCCTAAAAGTTTTCTTATGCTCCATTTAGTCCCATTTATACATCATCATGATGTTCATGATGTAAATGAATCTGATGTTTCATTCTATAATTTCAAAATTTATTGAAATCTGATGAACATTAGATGTTTGAAATTTAATGTTTGAAACATTCATCCTATAATTTCAAACATTATTAAAATTTGATGAACATTAGATGTTTGAAATCTAATATTTGAAACATTGTAATGGGACCTTTCAGTCTATAAGAAAACTTTTAGGACTAAACAGTGTATAAGTTATTAATTTAGGATTTATTGATGCATCCCCCAAAATTTAACTTTTTATGAAAAAAATTATATTAAAAAATAGATACATGATATAATTAAAAAAATATAAAAAGACAATAAGTATACTATTTACCCAAAGCTCAACCTACCCTCAATACCAAAAAAATAAATAAATAAATAAAATAAAAAGACTACTTCATCAGACTGATAGGATAGGGTGTGTTTAATCAATAATTTTTTTTTAAAAAAGTGATGATTATTTTTTAAAATTAATAACACATTAGTGAAGTTCTTAAAACTTTCCCAATTTCTTTATTTCTTTAAAAAAATGATGATTATTTTTTCTCACTCCATATATTGCTTCGGTTGATGTGGTAAGTCATTGGCTTGTTTAGAATGATATAAATAAATATATTTTTAAATTTTTATAAAATAATATACAAAAAAATAATAATAATAAACAGATAATATAATCTAAAAAAGTATTAAAAAATGGTACTTACATAACACAACTCAAATAAGCTCTAATACTATGAGAACTTAGGGAAAAAAAGAAATAATTACTTAAATTATAAGAAAAAAAAGGAAAAAAATTATAATTTCTCTCTTGTTTGTTTGGATAAGTAAGAAATAAAAGAAAAGAAATGATTGTAATCTCTCTCCTTCTTGTTTGGTTACATTTTATAAGAGAAAAAAAAAATTATTTTATGTTATAGTACCAAAATAACATTTTTATATTTTTAATCATTTTATTTTTACGGAGACAAAATTAATATTATGAAAATATTAATTTCTTTTTTTTCCCAATCTCTTCACTTTTGAAAAGATCGAAAATAAGGATTATAAGATAAATGAATTTCTCTCAATTCCTTTCAATTTTTTCTCATTTCTCTCTACTTAAATTATTCAAACAAATAAAAAAAATACATATCTCTCAATTTCTTTTATTTTTCCTCCAACTCACTCTATCCAAACATAGCGTGACTTCTCAACAGGATCACCAGATGCCTCCACTAGTTGTGGAAGGTACGCGAACCCTCCAGAAAAACATGACCGACTCCCTCTTCTTTGTTTCTATCTCTCCAAGCTGAAACAACAGGAAAAGAAAAGAAAAGAACAGAAAATTTCGAGAAAGGGAGGGAGAAAATGTTCTTCTTCTTCGTAGGAGGGGTGAACCAACAGGTCGGGCAGGTGCTGAAATCGGGGGCAGGGAGGTGCATAGCCTGCGGATCACGAGCCGATCTGGTGGAATGCGAGAAAGTACTGCAGCTGTTCTTCGTCCCCGTCTGGCGGTGGCCCGGAAAAGAGCCTCTCATGTACTGTAACAACTGCAATAGCCTCTTTCCACCAAAGTTTTCTCCTCCTCCGCCGCCATCCGCCGATTCTCCGCCGCCGCGGCAGCTTCCCGATTCGGCATTTTCGGACGTCCTTCGCTGCCAATTCTGTTCTCGGGAGGTTGATCCCTCCTTCAGGTTCTGCCCCTTCTGCGGTTCTTCTCTGTAACTCTCTCTAGACGGACGCTATGTGAAGAGGAGAGAAGAGAAAGGAAAATTTAGGGCACGTTTGTTTAGGGTTTAAGGGTTTATGTAAGGTTTGGTTTGGGGATGGTATTTTTGTACAGGGGTCTGTGGCTAAACTGGGTGGAATTTCAATAAATTGCTGATTTTTTATGAAGGGGTTTACCATTAATTTGCATATTGGATGTTTATTCAAATTGAACCCACGAAATTTGCTTGCGGAGTGATTTTCATTGATTGGTTTGTCAAGTCGATGGTATAAACTAGAAGCAAAGCAGCTTCTATAAAATATCTTTTAAATCCTGAGATTGCGTTTAATCAATAATTCCAGTCTCTTCAAAAATAAAAAAATAAAAACAAAAAAAAGAACTGTTTTTATAACTGTTTTCCATTTGGAATATATATAATTTAAAAAAAAAAAAAAACTGTTTTTAGCACAAAAAAAACATTGGAATGCCCTGGAAACTGTTTTAAAAAAAAAAAACTGTTTTTAGCACAAAAAAAATATATATAATTTAAAAATTCAACCAAACAAGCCTTCCATTTGGAATGCCCTGGAAACATTGGTGGTCACTACAGGGTAAATCGTGATGTTTAGAGCGTTAATCTGGCCCTATCATTCAAGTAGAAGTGTTATATAGAGTCGTAGATGTGGTTTTAAAGAAAGAAGGGGGTGGTGGCGCAGTTGGCTAGCGCGTAGGTCTCATAGCTTTCTGAGTAATCCTGAGGTCGAGAGTTCGAGCCTCTCTCACCCCAAACTCTTTTTTTATTTCTAGTTTAAGCGGGTTTGATTGAACAACAATAATTCATCTCCCTTTTCCCTTCACCCCTTTGACCCCCTCTCTCTCCCATGATTACATTTTCTTTTTCTTTTTCTTTTTCTTTTTCTTTTTTTTCCTGCTCCTCCAATCACCAGCCGCCACGTGGCAAAGGGGGGGTGAGGGGGTGATCCCCAAAAGGGGTCCCAAGCATTATTCTTGATTGAATTAAAAAAGAAGTTGGATAAATGAGATATGTGGAAGTGATTATTGTGCTTTTTTAAGTCTTATTTTCATGATCTGATTGTAAGTGTAAAATTGAAAAGAGCAATGGTAGAGGGCCCAAATTCTGTGGCTCAAATGTGGCTCAAATGGCCAAAACGACGTCGTTTTGAGTACAAAACAACATCAAAATGGCCAAAACGACGTCGTTTTGAGTACAAAACAACATAAATCCTGAGATTGCGTTTAATCAATAATTCCAGTCTCTTCAAAAAAAAAAATAAATAAATAAATAAAAAACTGTTTTTATAACTGTTTTAATTCAACCAAAACTAGCACAAAAAAATATATATATAATTTAAAAATTCAACCAAACAAGCCTTCCATTTGGAATGCCCTGGAAACATTGGTGGTCACTACAGGGTAAATCGTGATCGTGATGTTTAGATTGTTAATCTGGCCCGATCATTCAAGTATAAGTATTATATAGAGTCGTAGATGTAGTTTTAAAGCAAGAAGGGGTGGTGGCGCAGTTGGCTAGCGCGTAGGTCTCATAGCTTTCTGAGTAATCCTGAGGTCGAGAGTTCGAGCCTCTCTCACCCCAAACTCCTTTTTTTATTTCTAGTTTAAGCAGGTTTGATTGAATTAAAAAAGAAGTTGGATAAATGAGATATGCAGTAGTGATTTTTTAAGTTTTATTTTCATGATCTGATTGCAAGTGTAAAATTGAAAATAAATGTGATTTTATGAAGGTGTTATTAAAAAAGAAGTTGGATAAATGAGATATGCAGAAGTGACTATTGTGTTTTTTATGGGATTTGTTTTAAGTCTTATTTTCATGATCTGATTGTAAGTGTAAAATTGAAAAAAAATGTGATTTTATGAAGGTGTTATTAATATTCGATTAATTTAATTTTTTACAGATATATATTTATGAATTTTTAAATAAATATTTATGCTCAATTTAATTTTAAAATTGAATCCACAAGGAACAATTCATTTATAAAACCATGTGTTAAAATGATGTAATTGGGCAAGCTCATGTGAATTTGTCTCATCTAATTTGCTTTTTTTTTTTTAATTATATAGATATCAATTATTAAATAAAAAATGATGGTACAAAAGGGTAAAATTTGACTTTATGAGTGTAAAAATGATGAAAGGATACATGCCTCTTGGTTAGATGGCATGTGGACTGTGTGTGTGGTGCACAACTCCAGCCACTGGGTGGGAGGCGGACTTACTGATTGAGTCAAATCTAACCGACACCCTTAACAAAATTCCAAAAACTCTTCTGTCATGATCTTATGCATATTCCATCATAAATTCCTAACACTTGCAAGGAGTTTATTTTAAAAAAAAAAAAAATTAAAAAATAAACTTTTCTAAAACAAAAACCGATCTTATGCCGGGTAGTTTCAATTCATCACCCTATAAACATAAACTCGGAGTTCGAGCTGTTAATGTATAATGTATATGGTATAATATATTATAGGACAGAGCATAGAAAGCATAAGATTCTTTTCTTTCGGTTGTAAAGGCCAAACACCACTCACACACTTTCATTATTATGCATAGCTTTTGTCTTCTCCTTTCGGTGCTTCCTCTATAAAAGAGCATCACTCTTGTAACCAATTCAATATAAAAAATACAACATTCATTCAGATATCTCACATATCTCACACGAGCAACGTTTTTTGTAAAATTATTTTAATTTAATCTTTCAATGTTTAAATTGTATTTCTTAACAAAGTTTAAATTTTATGTACTTTAATTGCACGATATAATTGAAATTTCAAGGTATTGAAATTTTAATCGCAATTATGTACATAAATTGTGACTATAATGTGTTAAAAATCACGATATTTTGTTTAGTTTTTAAAATTGTTTTTGACTTATTTTTTTTATATCGTTAACTAACTTTATTTTCCCTTCATATTAGTCTACGCGTCTAATTTATAGATGCATTTAAAATGTAAAAAACAATATATAAAAAAGACTATATGGAGGGGAAAAAAAGTTCATTGACTAAAATATTATAATGTTTTTTGGGTCTTTTTTTAGATTCAAAATTCACTAGGAAAAAAAAATCAAAAATAGTAAAAAAATAAGAAAATAATTTTTAAAAAACAAAACAAAGAAATAGAATTATAAGGAGAGGGTCCGTACAATAAGTAACTTGGTGCACATAACATTCACATTATCTTGGAACCATAACACAATGGAGACGACGTGGTCACTCTATTTGCCCATCACAAGTTCTCACACCCTATCCACATCATCAACCTTTCTCATACACACAAAACCTCTTTAGCTCCTTAAAACACAAACCCTCAAGAGATAGCAATTAAAAAATAGTAGTATCTTTGTTCTTCTCTTCACAACCATCAAGAAAAAAAATATCAAAACAGAGCTAGAGATCTATGGCTCAGACCATGTTGCTCACTTCTAGTTCAAGTGTCTATAGTCATGCATTGGATTTGAAGAGACAACCATTACTTGAAAGTCTAAGGCCCAAACCATTCTCTCACATCTTACTACCTCCACTTCCATCTTCTTCTTCATTTCATCAGACTACCACCATTGCTCTCTTCAAATCCAAAACCAAAGCTGCCCCTGTCAAGAAGGTCTTCTTCTATCTCCTTATTTTTTAAAAATCCTCTTAAATTAGTTTGGATTTTTTATTTATTTATTATTTTTTTAAAATTTTTATTGGTAGCAGGTTGCCGAGCCTAAGCCGAAGGTTGAAAGTGGTATTTTTGGCACGTCGGGTGGGATTGGGTTTACAAAGCAAAATGAGCTTTTTGTGGGTCGTGTTGCCATGATCGGCTTCGCTGTGAGTATTCGGATCGATAGAATATTTACAAACATCACATAGATTTTGTGATTTTGTGATCTCTTAATATATACTGTTTGTAAATACTTTTGTGTTCAATAGTTATTTGTTACAAAATTGAAATAAGCTTTAATTTTCCTTTCATGCTAATTGTCTTACATTACAACTCCAATAATGACCTAGAATTTGAAAAAATTTATAAAAATAATATGACAATATTATTTTATAAATAAAAATTGTATTTATAGGTGTGTTATTTTAAAGTGAAAGGTCTACCATATTATGTACAAAAATTATATCTATATATATTATTTGTATATTATTGTCTTTAAATTGATGGTACAGATTTAAACTTGATATGATGTGAGTCACAGAAAATAAACTGAAGTCACACATTTTAAACTCCATTTTTTCTAGATAAATACAATTACTCAATTCTTATAAAATCACTAAGAGTATCTCCAACAGTACATCAATTTTTTCATCAAATTTGAGTAAAAACTTACTTTGATGTCAAGTGCTCCAATAGAGGTTTTTGGAGCTTCATCAGACCACTGGTCGACCAGGCAAAAGATCGGGCGGATGTCCGGCCGATCGATCGGCCAGTGTAAATTTTTCTTTTTTGCCTTTCAGTGGTCGACCGAGCAGTTGATTGGCCAGTACAATTTTTTCACAAATTGCAGTCTTGACTTGGTCATCCAGAAGGACATCTGGGGGGACATCCGGCAACGGTAATAAACAGTGATTTGATGAAAGACACATCGATCTTCAGTTTGATGAAAGAACAGTGAAATTCTGGATTTGACACCTATTTAATGAAACCGTTGAAGCACAAAAAGGAGTCTTTTTTCACCAAATTCAAATTTGATGATAAATTTGAGTAACCATTGGAGATGGTCTAACAACTAAAATGTGAAATTCTACTATACACACCCCTTGAAAGGGGTGTACCATATATACCCCTAGTTCTATTATTTTTTCTTTAGTTATGGTCATTTTTTTTTATGACAATATTTTAATTATGATTCATGTGGTGTTTGGTTATAATTTTTATTTTATTTTAATTATGACTTAAAAACTATGGAGTTATGCTAATTTTTGATCTTGAATAGCAACACGTTTCTTTTTTAGTTATAAAGTGCATATAATATAAATCTTTTGAGAGATATGTATCATAGTCTTTTCCAACTAAAATATACCCACCAATCAAAATCCTATAGATAAATAAAATCTTTCCAAAATTGAATGGCATAAGTAGGAAACAGAGTTCTTTGTCTAGCTGTCAATGGTAACAACTCGCACTTGATACATTGACATATAGAGGAAGCATCACACCATTTTGCAAATGTTATGGTCACATTATTCTTATTATAAATTAAATTCTATATAAAAATTCTGTAAGTATATATATAGAAATATTTTTAATGCTAATTCTAGTTTGGTTACAAAAACTGTGCAGGCATCTTTGTTGGGAGAAGCAATAACAGGGAAAGGAATCCTAGCACAACTGAATCTGGAGACTGGAATTCCCATCTATGAAGCTGAGCCTCTTCTCCTCTTCTTCATCCTTTTCACCCTCCTCGGAGCCATCGGAGCTTTGGGCGATAGGGGTCGCTTTGTTGATGACCCCCCTACCGGGCTTGACAAGGCTGTCATCCCTCCAGGCAAAAGTCTCAGATCAGCATTGGGTCTTAAAGAAGGAGGTAACAAAACTCATTGCCACAACTACAAGTTTATGCCCAAAACTAACTGCAAAGAAGACATTATTGACTAATATTCATTTTCACATTCCAACAAAAAAATAAATAAATCTAGTGAGATACATCATCATGGTATATGTTTTGAGAATGTCTATGTGTATGTGTTTGATCTGTTTTGGTTGGAAATTAAGTTTCAAAATTTTTAAATAAGGAATTATATTCTTTTAATTAAAAGACTTAATTTAAATTGAATTGAAGAGTTGTGTATATACCATGCCCCCCTACACCTTCTAAATATACATTCAAGATTACTTCTCTCTCCATTTCACTATTGTATTATTAGTAACGATGCACAAACAAAATTTTGTACAAAATTTCTATATACAATTATGTAATTTTTTGTGATGTCTTCATTTTTAATCACAACAATGTTTACATTGTCCTTCCAATTTCAAAAATACCATTAACACATCTCCCGTCAAGTGATTGTTATTTATAGCAGTATTATGTCATTAGTACCTACACGAAGAGAGGCTAAAACGACTTTATGATAACGATTCATAGTTTGTTTTATGTTTAATTGTTTGTGATATGTTTTTACATTTGAAATTGGTTTCATATGTTAGGTCCACTATTTGGATTCACAAAGTCGAATGAGCTGTTCGTGGGACGATTGGCTCAGTTGGGAATTGCATTCTCTATAATTGGAGAGATAATCACGGGGAAAGGAGCTCTGGCACAGCTAAACATCGAGACAGGAGTTCCAATCGGCGATATTGAGCCCCTTGTGTTGTTCAATGTCCTCTTCTTCTTTGTTGCCGCATTGAATCCTGGAACTGGCAAGTTTCAAACAGATGAAGAAGAGTAGATGATGCTTGGTTTATGTTTGATTTTTACAAGAATCTGTCATGTAGTTTCTATTTGTGCGTTATAGTAATTTCAAAATTTCACAACTAGTGATTCTTGTTTCCCAAAACACTTCTCTCTTTCTCTCTCTCTCTCTCTATGGATGTGAATGGTGTTGAACAGCAGAAATCCAACCTGGGCCATTCTTGCTACATTTTTGTTAGGACCGAGCTTGTCTTCAGTTCAGGCATCTGAATTGAATGTCCAATCTGAGTATTGGATGCTCACCACGTTGGTATTTTATTTTTTAAATTATTGGTTTAAATTTTTACTATAATCTCAATTGGGTCAGTTTTTTCGTTTGGCTTTATCATTGAATTTGTAAATGAATCTAAATTATTAATTTACAAATAATGACATCCAGTGCTCGGACTGTTTGGATGCACAAATTGGAGACAAACTCGGTCTAAAAAGGAAATGATGTCGGACAATCTTCACTGTATTTAAACCGATTTAATTCTGTTGTGTACAAAACAACAAGAATAAAAGAAATAGAGAAAAGGAGAGAATATGTTTGATTACAAAAATCAAACTCGAAATAAAAATAAATAAATAAAAAACAAAACAGATTTTATTTTGTTACAAAAACAAAATTAAAATCTGAATAAATAAACAAATAAAAACAACACTGAAAGTAATTAAATAACTTACTTGATTTAATTTCTTCGAATTATTTTTCTGATCAAGTCCAGTGTTTAACACTGTGTCCTTAAGACAGATTCGTCATCTCCACGGTGCTTTCAGAATTCGGACGTCTATCTCCCAGGATAAAATGATCTACTACAAACAATAGCAGCACTACAAATTGTTTGTCTAACGAACACACTAAGTGTTTATACTCTCTCTGACAAGAAAATAATGCAGCAAAATGAAGAGGATGTTTCGCCTCTCTCCTAGATGCCCAATGGTACACGTGTGGCATGTCTTCATTGTAGCCCATGTTCTGGTGAGGTCGGGATGCTCGGAAGTGCTCATAAATCCACACCTCCAAAAGAGTCATATAACCACCCATCTGCTTAACCCCAGACTGGCTAGCATACACCCCAACTGTCTATATAAAAATGCTAATGCATCAGCACCCCAGGCGTACGTATGAATGGATCCCAAATCATCAATAAGCCAAGGTAAACAACAGGAACCCTGCCGCCACTCTTGTCACTGAAGAGTGTATGTCCCAACAGAAACAACAAATAAGCTTTAGCAGCACACTGTATAGCCTCCTCGGGGTCTGAATCTGTGACACCAGCAAATTGACTTTGCAACCACTCAAGCTTGACTGAATTGCCACCAGCAGTAGAAACCTCTTCATGTGCTGCACGCTCAGTAATCCCCAAGCCATAAACGAGTAGTGTAACTCCATGATGATCTGTCACATCTGGTACGCTGACTGATTTGCCTACAATGGGAAGGCCAAGAATAGTGCCAACGTCATCCAGGGTTAAGGTCATCTCACCAACTGTCATGTGAAATGTGTTCGTCTCAGGTTGCCATCTCTCAACAAAACTGGAGATTAGAAGCTTGTTGACGAACCAATAAGTGCAACGAGCTAACTGCGACAGCCCAGACTGCTCAATAATGACTTTGAATCTGGTGTTGTTGTCTACTGACCACTATGGCCATGCAAGGATCTTCGAAGAGTGATTATGACACTTTAGGGGCCCTCGTTCCTATAACACAAGTAATATCTCATTAGAAACTACCATACAACATACACGAGAAAAAAAAAATCATATACAAATGAATTTCACTTCTACTCAGGAATGTTTACCTCCCCGTGCCAAACAGCTGCAGCGACATGACTATTGAAACTCCGCAGTATTGATGAATCAGTCAGTCCACTTGGAAAAGCATGAGTAAGGTCCTCTTCTGGACAGGAGGAGAATCAGGTAAAAAGGCATCCTCCACAGCAATGTCAGGCATATCATAACCTTGAACTCGTCTTTGGCTTCGGCTCTGACTTTGACTAGCACTGGGGATATCATATTCTACCGAAACTGGATCACGACCTTGACCTCATCCTCGCCCACGCCCTCGTCCCCGTTCATGGTCTACATCCAATTTACGACGTCGTCTATTTGAAGCAGTAAGTGGGACACGTTGTTGACATTTGGAATCCATATTATCTGCAAAAAATAATAAGTGTGTGCAATGAGTGTGTGCAATGAGCGTGTCTAAATAAAGAATGGTCATGCAAACAAGTGTGTGTAAATAAAGAGAGTGTGTGTAAAATTAATGAGAGTGTGTGTAAAATTATAATAACTGTGTGTAATGAGAGTGTGTGTAAAATTATAATAAGTGTGTGTAAATAAAGAATGGCCATGCAAACAACAATACACATGGCCATGGTGGGGAAATTATAATAAGTGTTTATTCAAGTGAAATTACTAATAAGTGTTTAAAAAAATTATAATAAGTATGTGTAAATTATAATAAGTGTGTTTATTAAGTGTGTGTAAAGAGGGGAATGGGGATGTGGAAATATAAGCTCCCTTCAAACAACAATATACAACAGAAAGGGGAAAAAAAAACCTGTTCGGAAGTTCACAACCGAAAATACCTATTCTGTTCAGAAGTTGAAATCCAAAACACAAACATAATTTCGGAAGTTGAGTGTTGACAAAATTCAAATTTTTTTGGAAGTTGACTATCGAAACAATGAAACATTTTCGGAAATCTACTGATGAAATTATTGATTATTTTCGGATTTCTACGTCCGAACAAATTGTTATATTTCGGAAAACCAGTCCCGAACGACGGTTACAAATGAAAAACTCTACATTATAAGTGAAAAACTCTACATTACAAATGAAAAACTCTACATTACAAATGAACATGGGGTATGCTAGCCGTTGGGAGCTATTTGGCAAATGAAAAAAATTAAAGATTAGTGAAAAAAGTTACCCCAACTGTGTGAAGCAGGGAGCTATTTGCACCTTTGGGAGAGTGTAGACACCCCATTTTTGACCGACCTTAAGACTCAGACGTCATCGATTGAGCGCTCAGTGATGGTGCATGTTCTGCTTGTCCTGAGATTTGGAAGTTTCGGCTAAGAGCCTTGCCTCCAAGCCTCGGGACCCTTTGTACTTTGACTCGGTCCGCGGACCAAGTTTTGTTTTCTCTTACTGGAGGGAGGGAGAGGTCTTGTAGACCATCTCTCAGTGGCCGTAGGCTACTTTTCATTGTCGTAGGCCATTGTTCCCATTTGGAGACTAGTTTTTTTATTTTCGGAGCTGTCGGACATGTGCCTCGGTTCGGGATCACTTAACATTCTCTGTTTGGCACAGTTTTTGAATCACACCTTGTTTCCTCTGTCTAGAGGGACGTTGTGGTCCGGGAGACCACTTTTGTGGTCGTATGCCACTTTTTGTGCTCAACAGCCGGTTTTCGAGGCCCCCGGCCACGCGTCTTGCCTCCAGAACTCTCGTTTTGCATCCGTGTTGGTTCGTTCTTGGCACGAACCTTGTTTTCCTTGTTCGGAAGGTGGTACAAGGGTGGGAGACTAGCTTTCTCCTTGGAAACCACTTTTCTCCCCGCTAGTCGGTTTTCTGGTCGGGAAACTGGTTTTCTTGGTCTTTGGGCCACATTTTATGGTTTCCCACCCCACCATTGGCTTGCTTTCAGTGTGGAGACCACCAATACTCTTGGCCGACCACTTTTTATCTGGGAGACCACTTGCCCTGGTCGGCCGACCAGGGAAAGTGGACAGCCGACCACCTTTTCTGGTTGGCTGGTTTCCTCCTGTTTTGTTAGATTGTGTGGATGCCAGCTATGCCAGCTAGAAGGCACAGACTGTATCCTCCATACATGTGTATGCAGGATTTGAATCCAAGCTTTTAGCTTCTTGAGGAAGCTTTAGCTTCAAACCTTTATAAGAGAGGCCCTCCCTCTCCTTTGCACAGGTTCAGAATTTGGTTGAAGGCAAAATACATATCTCTCTCCATATCTCTATATTTTGGCTCAAAGTGTGTATTGTTCTTGACCTATTGCACCACACCTCATAGCCATACACCTCCATCATTGATCTGAGGTTCTTGGAGGGTATTTTCAGAGGTTGAAGAGTTGGTTTTTGCTCCCAAAACTTGCTAGTTTTGTTGAGCTTCAAGGGTAACTCCTTTTCCCTCTTTTTAAGCTCTATCTTGATCACTCTTGTAATAACCCTGATCCACAATTAGCCATTAATCAAAAGTTAAGGATGCTAATTAAGTGAATAAAATAAATTATGGGTTTATTATGTGATTTGCATGATATTTGGCTTATTAAAAAATAACATATATTTTTTCTCATTATTGTTGTTTGTTGTTGTTACATTTTTTTTCAAGTTTATCAATATTTAACACATTTTGCTATACTTTTTCGCTCTAATTGCTCCATTTATTCTCTTTTTTTTCTTGACAATATTCTGGACATTCCGATGAGTCTCCGATGATGTTCTTGATGTCCAGTGAATGTTCTAAATATTCCAGTGACTTCCAGTGAGGTTCAGAACACCCCAACGATACTTCAGCGCATTTTCGGCGATCCTCTGGCAACTTTCCGGTGATGTTGAACAATTCGATGAGCCTCCAGTGACCATCTAATAGAAGTTCGACGGTGGTAGGATAAAGTAACGTCTTTAATTTTAAAAATAAAAATAAAAATTATAACAATTAAAAATATATAAAACTAATTGGTACAAGTATTTTGTTTTGGATTTAGATGGGTTTCGAACTTTGTATATAGGACCTACCAATAAGTTTCCTAAAAGAATAGGTATGATAGATAAGTTAGATTGTTGCTTGATTAATAGATTCGTATTTAAAATTTTGAGAATGGTAAATATTAGTTGATAGTTGGTTCAAATCTAATTTGATATTACAATTTAAAAAAAAAAAAAAAATTGGTTGCAAATTGAATTTTGTTAAACTATAAAATATGTGACACAGAGAACTCTGCTTTCCCAAAATAATTACAATAAAAAAAATACTGTACATCTCTTAGGCTGTATTTAGCTCTTGGATTTGTGGATGGAATTTCCAATCCATTCTCCTTCCTTTTCTTTTCCCTCCACTAATTTCTTCACAAATTCAAAGTCCAAACAAAAAAGTCTTACCAGACCCACAATTCAGCATATACTCTTCTCATTGGAGAGGGAAAGAAAAGCATTCAATGTTGTTTTACAAATCACAAATCCTTTGAGTCCATTATTCAACAGGAATGGGTTTTTTTCTTATTTTTTTCAGTATACAAAGATAATCTATCTCAAACATTTATTCATGGAATTCAGTGTATTTAATTTGGCCCTTCAGTACTATCAATGCTTAATGCATATGTAATGTATTATTTAAAATAAATAAAAAAATACATGTTATTCTTTCAGAATAATTGCCATAATAATACAAGAATACACAGCTGCCAAATGCTTACACAAAGGGGCAGAAACCCTACAACTCTCAACCTCAAAAAAATAATAGTAATAAAATAAAAAAACTGCTGCAACAACTGCAATCTCAAAGACTTTTGTGACACAGAAAAAATTATGATCTAAATTAAGGAAATGTACAACTTGCCAGAAACAAATGTTACATTGTTGGGAAAAATTACTCACCAAAGTAGCCACAACAAACCTTTTCAATCTTGAACAATCAAAGCCAATCACTTTTGACAATTTGATCCAACCAGACAACCAAATCAGACATAACAGGACGCTCACTGGGATTTTCCTTCAAAGCAAGCTCGGCGATTTCAGAAAGCTTGAGCAGTGGTTCCACATTTTTTAGTAAAGCCACGTTCACATCGATTATAGCGGCTGCCTTTCCATGTCTTATTAAAGGCAGTGCCCACTCGATAATACATGGAGGCGAGTAATCCCTATCATGAGCTTTCCTTCCACTCAAAATCTCTAGCAAAACGATACCAAAATTATAGACATCGTTCACCATGCCTTCGTTTAAATCTCTGTCGTTTACACTCAGGACCCCAAAATCTGAAATTCTTGCATCCCAGTTAGAATCCAGAAGAATATTCGATGTCTTCACATCCCGATGAACAATGGGAGGGTTGGCTATTTTATGAAGGTACTCAAGTCCTTTCACAATCTGCAATGAAATCTTTAACCTGAGATTCCAAACCAAAGGAGAGAGTTCCCCGTGGAGATGATCATGAAGTGTACCATGTGGCATGAACTCATAAACTAACAATCTCTCCCCCATTTCAGCGCAATATCCAAGTAAGTTCACGATATTGTTGTGCCGAATATTGCAAAGAATTTCAACCTCTGCTTCAAAATCCCGGTTGTTGGTGTGAATGATGGTGGCAGCATTAGCCCTTTTGACTGCAACTTGGGAACCATCCGAAAGTGTTGCTTTGTAAACAAACCCATAGCTTCCCCGACCAAGCTCATTAAACTCCTTGAACCCGTTTGTAGCATCTTTTAGTTCAGAGAGCCGGAAAACCTGTGCTGTTCCAATACACATGGTTACAGAGACGGGTTGTGGCATGCTCGGGTCAGGCTCAGCCTCCACCACTGGTTTTCGTAGGCAAGAAGTTCCCCGGGTTTTATCCCTCCTTTCAGTTTTAGATTTGATCAATCGAGGAATAAGACACCACCCACTTACAACTAGTATGAATCCCAACACACAAGATCCAAGGATAACAATCGGTTTCTTGATCTCTTGAAACTCTGATGAAGAAGGAAATCCACAAACCACCCAACAAGAGCTGTTCTGGCAAAGGGAACAATCAGTGCAAATTCTATCTGCGTTCTTGCTGCACATACTAGAAGGGAAAAAGCCTTGAGAACAATTTGACCCACAAGGCAAGCAAATATTCAGATCCTTTTGAACACACAAGCTTGTCAATTCTGGTTCATGTAGAAGACTCGCATTGAATGCAAAACTCCCATTAGGGCATGAACCTGGCAAACAAACACCCGGACTACATAACTGCAAAGGAGGACTGAAATCAAGTGGGGATTGTGATTGCCCACTTGCACCCCAGCAATCAAGAACTAAGTCAACTTCTCTAACCCCACAAGTAGTAAACTCGGATGAAGCAATAGCAGTAAACCCGGGACCTTTAGGAACTGAGGAGTCATCATCGATGCTTCCCCAACATTCAATTCCATGGTCATCTTTGCGTATGCCACAAAATTGACGAGCACTAGCTGATAATGCCACGAATTGAATACCTGTTGGCGGAACACCAAACTCATTGGCATCACCCCAACATTTCACTTCTCCAGATAAACTAGAAATCCCACAAACAGATCCCCTCCCTGAAGCCAATGTTTCAAAATCCCCAAATTCAGCTGAAACTCTCAAATCACCCGGTTTCGGTCCCCAACAAACAACACCCCCATCTTTCACAACACCACAGCTAAAATTACCCCCAGAAACAATACTCTTAAAAGTCAAATTATTCACAGACGGGTCATGAAATGAAGAACCATTTACAGGAAACAGAGCACTATTACTAGAATCATATGGTGTTTCACTAAATTCCCAACAATCTACTGTGCCATAACCAATAGTTGAATTATAAGATCCTCTAATTGCACAAACATGACTCGATCCAGCGGCGATTTGGGAATAAGAAAAGTACTTAAAAACAGGTGGGACGAGATCTGTACCTGGGTTTGACAATTGCCAGCAATACGCTTGCGAAGTGTTCGATGAAATGCCGCACATAAATCCCTCGCCACCCGAGAGAGAGGCCATTGGAGGAAGAGAATCAAAATACAACGACGATGATGATGTTGTTGATTTGTTGTAGTTGTTGTTTTGCCAACATATGATTTCTTGATTGCCAGCGGCATCAATGGCGCAGAAGAACTCGTTGTCACCGAATGTGGCGGCGATTGGACCGGTTGAGCCGAACCCAAATGCAGGGATTGACATGAATGGTGGAAGGAGGAGGAGGAGGAGTAGAGGAAGGAACTGAAGAGGAGAGGGACATGGTTGGGGGTTCATGTGATCTGGGTTTTGTGAGGTTTGAGTCAGTTTGTTTGTGTCATGGATTGATTGATAGTTGATTCTGAGTGTTTTGGCAATGGTGGATGGGTTGTGATGGTGGTGATTGTTGAAGTTGAAGTTGGATCACAGGGAGTCCAGAGACAGTTATATGAAGTCAAACAAGAGTTGAGAAGTTGTTACTCCAAGCAACTGGCCACTCTTCCAGTATGCATAATATCACATGGTTTGTTCTTTTTTTTCTTTTTCTTTTTTTTTTTTTTTTTGCTATTTTTAATAGACAATCATATGTCCACTAAAATTATATATAAACACATTTCTTATTAGATTTTGTTAGTTTTTTAACTACTAAACAAAAAATCCACCCTTTTCTGTAAGTTATAACAAATATGATTAAGAAAAAATCATTTATTTATGTAATTTTTCAAGCTGTAAAGTTGTATTACTTGCTTCAGCTAAATTATTTGGACGGTGTTGTTTAACTCTGTGGAGTTCACCACGGATTATGTTTTAATTATTCGAGTTATTCATGTTTTATGACATTTTGTATAAATCATTAACAGAAAAAATTAAAGTGATCTGATATATGCAATTATATAATTTTATTATATTTATTTTCATAAAAAAAAATATGATATATTTTTGAAATTAATCTTGTCCTTCGTTTTTTCAAAAATAAATATAATAAAATTATGTAAGTATACATATCAAATCAAGTGTCGCAAAACATAAACAATTTAAATAATCAAAACGAGATTTGTAACCAACTTCATGATTTCAAATAATATCGTCCAAACAACCACGCTCTCCTCATTAATTTGTCATGTTGAAGAAGCATATCACAGTACAGAGTACTGCAATGTTGGATCGTCAAACTTGTATTATTTATTTTTTATTCCTATATAATTATGGTTTAGAAAGTAATTAAGTAGTGCCTCAAAGTCAAACCATGGACAAGGAAGAAGAAGCAGAACAAGTTGGAGCCAACACAGGCTGTAGCCCTGCTTGGTAGAGTTATGGGAAAGTGTTTATAACTTATGCCTAAACAGTTTATAACTTATAACTTTCAGTTTAAGTTGATTTTTAGCTTATTTTTAAAGCATCTCCTGCCCTACTCAAAGAATAAGTTGATTTTTGACTTGCACAAAGCTATAAGTTATAAGCTATAAGCTATAAACTATAAACTATAAGCTAAACCAAACATATCAAAATAATTTAAATTAAATTAAAAGTTAAAATAAACTGTAAATAATTTCTGCCAAACAGACACCGTATCAGGGTGAGAGGACACCAGCTTAATGCTAGACCCAACTTGAGCCTGATCTGATCTATTTGTCTTTTTGTCTATTCTTACTAGCCAACAAATTGCACATCAACACAATTTTTATTTTACATTTGATACAAGTAATCTTTTCAAGAATCATGTGCTCTTCTATTCTCCTATCAGCGATGCAATAAATATATTATTTTTAAAATTATTTATAAAACAAAAGTGCAAATATTGTAATATTAAGATTTGATACTCTCTCTAATAGATGGCACTGGTTTTCTGCAAAAAAGAAAGAAGAGAGAGAGGGTGCGTGCAAAAGAGGGAAAAGAGAGAGACCGGTTTGGGGACGGAAATTCGGGTTGATTTGAAGGTACATTTTGGGGCTTTAAAAAGATATTCACCTTGCCTTATTTTCAGTTTTTCAAAATATTTCTTAGAAAATTTTATTTTTTTATTTTTCGTATTTTTTTATTTTTACTGAATTTTTTAAATATTTTAAGTAATTTTTTTACTTTTTAGACATACCTAACATAAATATGGCCAATCGTGACATCCACGAAGGGCGCTCTAAATCCAGAGTCTTATTCTACCCAAATGTGACCTGCACGGATGGGGCTCCCAATTCAGAGGCTGTTTTGTCTTGGCCAATCTTGATATCCACGAAGGCGCTCTAAATCTGGAGTCTTATTCGGCCCAAACGCGACCTGCACGGATGGGTCTCCGAATTTGGAGTCTCTTATGCCTTGGCCAATCGTGACATCCACGAAGGGCGCTCTAAATCCAGAGTCTTATTCTACCCAAATGTGACCTGCACGGATGGGGCTCCCAATTCAGAGGCTGTTTTGTCTTGGCCAATCTTGATATCCACGAAGGCGCTCTAAATCTGGAGTCTTATTCGGCCCAAACGCGACCTGCACGGATGGGTCTCCGAATTTGGAGTCTCTTATGCCTTGGCCAATCGTGACATCCACGAAGGGCGCTCTAAATCCAGAGTCTTATTCTACCCAAATGTGACCTGCACGGATGGGGCTCCCAATTCAGAGGCTGTTTTGTCTTGGCCAATCTTGATATCCACGAAGGCGCTCTAAATCTGGAGTCTTATTCGGCCCAAACGCGACCTGCACGGATGGGTCTCCGAATTTGGAGTCTCTTATGCCTTGGCCAATCGTGACATCCACGAAGGGCGCTCTAAATCCAGAGTCTTATTCTACCCAAATGTGACCTGCACGGATGGGGCTCCCAATTCAGAGGCTGTTTTGTCTTGGCCAATCTTGATATCCACGAAGGCGCTCTAAATCTGGAGTCTTATTCGGCCCAAACGCGACCTGCACGGATGGGTCTCCGAATTTGGAGTCTCTTATGCCTTGGCCAATCGTGACATCCACGAAGGGCGCTCTAAATCCAGAGTCTTATTCTACCCAAATGTGACCTGCACGGATGGGGCTCCCAATTCAGAGGCTGTTTTGTCTTGGCCAATCTTGATATCCACGAAGGCGCTCTAAATCTGGAGTCTTATTCGGCCCAAACGCGACCTGCACGGATGGGTCTCCGAATTTGGAGTCTCTTATGCCTTGGCCAATCGTGACATCCACGAAGGGCGCTCTAAATCCAGAGTCTTATTCTACCCAAATGTGACCTGCACGGATGGGGCTCCCAATTCAGAGGCTGTTTTGTCTTGGCCAATCTTGATATCCACGAAGGCGCTCTAAATCTGGAGTCTTATTCGGCCCAAACGCGACCTGCACGGATGGGTCTCCGAATTTGGAGTCTCTTATGCCTTGGCCAATCGTGACATCCACGAAGGGCGCTCTAAATCCAGAGTCTTATTCTACCCAAATGTGACCTGCACGGATGGGGCTCCCAATTCAGAGGCTGTTTTGTCTTGGCCAATCTTGATATCCACGAAGGCGCTCTAAATCTGGAGTCTTATTCGGCCCAAACGCGACCTGCACGGATGGGTCTCCGAATTTGGAGTCTCTTATGCCTTGGCCAATCGTGACATCCACGAAGGGCGCTCTAAATCCAGAGTCTTATTCTACCCAAATGTGACCTGCACGGATGGGGCTCCCAATTCAGAGGCTGTTTTGTCTTGGCCAATCTTGATATCCACGAAGGCGCTCTAAATCTGGAGTCTTATTCGGCCCAAACGCGACCTGCACGGATGGGTCTCCGAATTTGGAGTCTCTTATGCCTTGGCCAATCGTGACATCCACGAAGGGCGCTCTAAATCCAGAGTCTTATTCTACCCAAATGTGACCTGCACGGATGGGGCTCCCAATTCAGAGGCTGTTTTGTCTTGGCCAATCTTGATATCCACGAAGGCGCTCTAAATCTGGAGTCTTATTCGGCCCAAACGCGACCTGCACGGATGGGTCTCCGAATTTGGAGTCTCTTATGCCTTGGCCAATCGTGACATCCACGAAGGGCGCTCTAAATCCAGAGTCTTATTCTACCCAAATGTGACCTGCACGGATGGGGCTCCCAATTCAGAGGCTGTTTTGTCTTGGCCAATCTTGATATCCACGAAGGCGCTCTAAATCTGGAGTCTTATTCGGCCCAAACGCGACCTGCACGGATGGGTCTCCGAATTTGGAGTCTCTTATGCCTTGGCCAATCGTGACATCCACGAAGGGCGCTCTAAATCCAGAGTCTTATTCTACCCAAATGTGACCTGCACGGATGGGGCTCCCAATTCAGAGGCTGTTTTGTCTTGGCCAATCTTGATATCCACGAAGGCGCTCTAAATCTGGAGTCTTATTCGGCCCAAACGCGACCTGCACGGATGGGTCTCCGAATTTGGAGTCTCTTATGCCTTGGCCAATCGTGACATCCACGAAGGGCGCTCTAAATCCAGAGTCTTATTCTACCCAAATGTGACCTGCACGGATGGGGCTCCCAATTCAGAGGCTGTTTTGTCTTGGCCAATCTTGATATCCACGAAGGCGCTCTAAATCTGGAGTCTTATTCGGCCCAAACGCGACCTGCACGGATGGGTCTCCGAATTTGGAGTCTCTTATGCCTTGGCCAATCGTGACATCCACGAAGGGCGCTCTAAATCCAGAGTCTTATTCTACCCAAATGTGACCTGCACGGATGGGGCTCCCAATTCAGAGGCTGTTTTGTCTTGGCCAATCTTGATATCCACGAAGGCGCTCTAAATCTGGAGTCTTATTCGGCCCAAACGCGACCTGCACGGATGGGTCTCCGAATTTGGAGTCTCTTATGCCTTGGCCAATCGTGACATCCACGAAGGGCGCTCTAAATCCAGAGTCTTATTCTACCCAAATGTGACCTGCACGGATGGGGCTCCCAATTCAGAGGCTGTTTTGTCTTGGCCAATCTTGATATCCACGAAGGCGCTCTAAATCTGGAGTCTTATTCGGCCCAAACGCGACCTGCACGGATGGGTCTCCGAATTTGGAGTCTCTTATGCCTTGGCCAATCGTGACATCCACGAAGGGCGCTCTAAATCCAGAGTCTTATTCTACCCAAATGTGACCTGCACGGATGGGGCTCCCAATTCAGAGGCTGTTTTGTCTTGGCCAATCTTGATATCCACGAAGGCGCTCTAAATCTGGAGTCTTATTCGGCCCAAACGCGACCTGCACGGATGGGTCTCCGAATTTGGAGTCTCTTATGCCTTGGCCAATCGTGACATCCACGAAGGGCGCTCTAAATCCAGAGTCTTATTCTACCCAAATGTGACCTGCACGGATGGGGCTCCCAATTCAGAGGCTGTTTTGTCTTGGCCAATCTTGATATCCACGAAGGCGCTCTAAATCTGGAGTCTTATTCGGCCCAAACGCGACCTGCACGGATGGGTCTCCGAATTTGGAGTCTCTTATGCCTTGGCCAATCGTGACATCCACGAAGGGCGCTCTAAATCCAGAGTCTTATTCTACCCAAATGTGACCTGCACGGATGGGGCTC